TTCTAGAGAGGGAAAAAAAAATGGTCCAGTCCCCTTCATCTCACTTCAGGGCAATAGGGCGGATAGTTGGCAAGGCTCCGCCTCCCCCTATCCCTGGATTTCTGGAGCAGGGCATCAGGTCAGTCAGTGAATTTCTCTCTACACGCAGGCTTCAAAGACGGGATGTGTTTAGGCCCTGCCAAACATTAGCTCAGGGAAGCTTCACAGTATGGTAGGTTCAAGTCCATCGTGTGTGCCATTCTTATAGACAGCTTTGATCTGCATACTCATTAGGATAATTTTCCAGCATGTTGCAGTAGAGCTTCATATTGTAACAATCCACATTTTATTGTAATTAAAGTTTTCCACTGAGTAAAAGGAAAAGGCACCTTTTCCTGTTGCACACAAAGATGCCTTTTGAGCTAGCAGCCACACTATGGAGCGGTAGTGATTGTCGTAATTAACATTTATGTAGTCTTGGCCTTTCAAAAATCTCCGAAGTCTATACGGGTAGACACGAGACCATTGTTGCGACCGAAGAAAATGAAGACACAAAGATGAGCCATGGGTCTTACTGCAGCTGCCCATAAAACTCCTTACTTCCAGCTGGGGCATCAGCTTGCTAGCAGAATTCAGCTCTTCTCTCGAAGACTCGGTATTTTTGCTTTTGGATCCCTGTGTCGTTTTATTTATTTATTTTTAATAATCACATTAGACGTTATGGACTTGAATTAACTAGTTTCCTCTAACAGATCTGTTCCTTTGGAGGCGGCCAAGGACAAGAGGCTGTCAAGTGGCCTCACCTTGGAAATCCCCAGTACCCTCCCCTGCCCCTTGCCGCTGGAATGGGCAATTAATTATGTGCCGGGTCCGAAAGAAATTTTTCCTTAGTCTGTTCTGGCTCCACCTTCAACTCTCTGAAACTCAGTTCCCTTTTCTTAATCTAAGGTCATCTAAGGTCTTGTGATACTCTAACATTATAAAATGCATGATTCAATCAGAGTAGCTGGTAAGGATTACTGCAGTAATTAAATATGAAAATTTGTTTATAAGCACAGAATAAAACTTTGGAAGCTATTCCTTTTTTAGTCTGGGTCAAGTAACTTCTACCCTGACGCGAGTTACCACGCTTTTCCGAAGTATAACTTGCACACATGTGTTTTCAATGTGAGCCATAGCTTGAAACATCTTTCCTAGATTTTTGGTGAGGCAGGACAGAGTATGTGTTTATGCCTGTGTTTGTCTGTGTCTGCACATTTACGCACAGTCATCATTTGGGGATGCTGATGGGCCCTAATCCACTTTAATAGCCTAGTGAGAGATTGCATCATGTTTTGTTTTACAAAATATGAAAACTATCTGCAGCTGTGAAGGAATAACCCTCGTAATTCATCCGAGAGCCTGCCTCTCTTACTTATGGGATCTACTCCATATCTCATATCAACTCATTACTCTGTGTATCCTCCATGTATGCAGAAAGACCGCATGATAGATGCTGTACAAGGATGTTATTTCCACAAGAGGGGGAGGCTAAACCCTGTGACACAGGAGTGATGAGGCACAAGTGAATTAAGAAGACAGTATATCTCTCCACACCAGATAATATACTATCCTTTATTCTGCAGCTATATTTATATTAACAGTGTAGCTACGAGGAGAGGAGAGGGAACTAGAATTCTTATGTTTTTAATTCATTTATTTATAAGGCCTTGTCGCCAGCATATTCAGTACTCCTTGGGAATTTTGCAAGGAAAAACAATGGTCATGGCCTTCGTTCACGACTTTCTTTAATTTTTATATGTCATTCCAATATTGATTTTAAATAGTTATAGTCATCTCTGTGCTTTAAGTTTGAGCTACTAGTCCAAAATTCAACTAATCTGTTTTTTCAAAAGTGTATCATGTGTAGCGATTTGAACTTTTGACCCAATAGTAAATATTTGAACTCAAAGATACTCATAAACTGTTAATGGATTTGATATATTTTTTTTAAAACAAGCTGAACCCTTTTATGTTAAAATCTCCTCTATTCTTTCCAAGGAGACAACAGTCTTTATTAAGTCATTCTTGGAATAAGATACGACTACTTCAATAGAGTTTCTTCTCCACATTGTCTCAAGAGGAAGTGACCGCGTAGAACTCGCATGTTAGGTGGACATTGCTAATTGAGAACTGGGCCAGGCCATCCAGTAGCAGTTGGAACTGCTTACCGCTAGTTCTTAGCTGATAGCCGGCCTCTTTCAAAGTGGATTGCTCTCTTCTGTTACACCACGTACACTCAGATTTTCCTCTGACGCCACACGTGCCTGTCCCGGTGGCAGCCCTCGCTTTTCATTTGTACAACTCTGATTACTGGGTGCTGGGACACCCAGAACCCTTTTGTGAAATGGCTTGGTGCAAGTAAGTACTGTTGACCCTCGAGTAGCACGGACTTGGACTGTGTGGGTCCACTTACACACAAACTTTCTTCGCTGTAGTACCATGCTGTAAATGTATTTTCCTTGTGCTTTTCCTAACATCTCCTGTAGCTTACTCTGTTGCAGGAATACAGTGTAGAATATAGGTGGCAGAGGGAGTATGTGTTCACTGTCTGTGTTACCAGCAAGGCTTCTGCTCGACAGCAGGCCGTGCGTAGTTACGTTTTCAGGGAGTCCAGAGCTCCATGCCGATTTTCACCTGGATGGTTGGTCAGCATCCCCAGCCCATGCGTTGTTCAGGGATGAACTGTACAAGTGCTTCTCAATCATAAAGAACACGTTTCTCTTTTTCCTTAGCATATTCCCTCCTTGCCCCATCCTCAGGAATTTAAAAGACAGAGAGTGCACATTGGGTTTTGATTTTGGTCTCCTGCTTTATTTTCCTTGTAGCAGTTAAGTGAAAATAGCATGAGATTCTGGAGATTACAAAAGGGCAGTGTGTACCTTGACGCACTGTTGTGCTGTTGTCATAAATATCTAGTCTGTCCAAATGTAAACCTCAATAAGTGCAGGTTTCTGCTTGCACGGCTGTTCTTGCTGTTGCTCTTAGAAGCCAGCAAAAACCTCTTTGCCTCATCTCCCTTGTCTTTCCTACACTCTTAAGTTTCTCTTGAGACTGATCGTCTCCATATTATTTGTTCACACTTCCCAGAGAGCTCCTCTCTTTTTCCTTCTGTTGAATATTTATGATATGAATAGAGCTGGGCTCAACTACCCCCGCTGTACCCATAGATGCTGGTAACAAAGTATGTTCTCCTGGCTGGACATATCAGATGTTATAAAACCGTCAGTTTTCAACTGGACCACTTCTTACTTCTACCACTGTGGGACTTTGCAAATCAATTAACTGATCTCATCCATGGTTTTCTCAGGGGTAAGAGTGAAACAATAACACGTGCTTATTTAGTTCTAAGTTTGTTGCTCTCGGGGGGGTGCCCCTGGGAGCTGGGTGTTTTAGGAAACATGTAGTGCTCTAAAACTGTGGGATTGGAACTGGGAAATTAATGGTAGCAACCATTTTATTGATCTATTACTATGTACTGGCCATTGTTATAGACACTTTACATTCATTTTCCAATTCACTTTTTTTGAAGCCCTCACAAGAGGCACTGTTATTCTTCTTTTACAGTTGCAGTGACTTGCCCAGCCTCCTAGACATTAAGTAACAGAGCTGGGATTCCACGTAGTGTCTGTCCAATGCCCAGGCTTTCCTCGTGGTTTCTCACTGTGTCCTAAGAGGAAGGGAAGACACAAGAAGCCACCATCAAAGCCATCCTCAGCGGGCTTCAGTTGAAAGTGAATATGGTTTGTCTGACTGTCCTGCAGCTGACACGCTCCAGGTTAATCATATTTTCAAGCTTAGCAATGTTAGCTTCAGAAGAATACAATGTTTGAGAGCCAGAGGAGGCACAGGTGTTTTAGCATATAATGTATGAGAAATAAGTGAATTTCAAAAGTGAGTATATCTTATATATCTTTTACTTATGATATTTATTTAATTTTAGCTGATTTTATTTATGTGTCTTATGGACCAAATGAAGAATGCATTAAGTCAGAGCCCTTTGCTACTGTACACAGCCTGGCAGATGCTTCTTTATTTATTATGTTGGCAGCTTTATTTTTTTTTTTAAAGAATCATCATTTTATTCTATTTTTTAAAAGACTTGGAGAGCGAGAGAGAGCACAAGAGGGGTGAGGGAGAAGGAGACTCCCTGCTGGGCTGGGAGCCCAATGTGGGGCTTGATCCCTGGACTCCGGGATCATGACCTGAGCCGAAGGCAGACACCTAACTCACTGAGCCACCCAGGTGCCCCTAAAGCATTATCATTTCAAAAAATCCTTTCAAAACAGTTGATTGGATGCTTTCCGCTGAATGACCTTTGGCCCTCTTTAAGAAGACCATTATGGATGCTTCTGATTAATTCTCCTCCTTTTCACTTCTACTTTCCTGGTAGGGGTTTTTGCTTTACTACTCAGTGGTTGGCTTTCAGAACAGGAAGGCAAGTTTGACTTCATAAAACCAACAACTAACATTTGCACAGTGGTTTGCCACTTACAAAGAAAGCACTGTTCACTCCTTTTGTTTCCCTCCCAGTACTGGGGGTCACTGTCACAGGACTCCAGATCGCAAATGAGGAAACTGCCATCCTAGGAATGCTTTCAAGCAGTTGTATTGACAGTGTCTACAGCTTCACCTGTATCTACTTCATGGTCCTCTTCTCTGCAGCAAGGACTATACGCTGTATTTCTTGATCTCCCACCCAGCTCGCAATGCAGTGCCTAAAACCTGACCTTTACGAGCAAAGGATCAGTGGAAATTGTAGTGTTTTCTAACCCAGGGTCCAGAGATGGTCTTTAGGGAATATATGTGAATCTCCTAAAAGCTCAGGCAAAAAATGTGCCCATGCATGGGCTCACACAGATGCAGGTTTTTCAGTGAAGAAGGAATTCATCTTATTTTTCGGTTCTCGGGGGATTCCATGACCCACATAATGAGTCATGTTAATAATTACTGCTTTAAAAAATTAAACAGATAGCCACAAAATCTCTTAAAATTTTATTCAGCATTCATAACAAAACATCAAAATCACCAGAAAGTTAGATTTAACCTCTGTGTGACTTAAAGGCTGTCCACATTTTATGTCTGAGTTAATTGATTTTGGTTTGTTAGAGCTTAAAACTAGCGAGGTTGAAGCTTGGGCTTCAGTCTTCCCATTTCCTAATTAACAGCACAGTTCTATGGCCACAGATTTCACTGAGTCACACCAGCCATCCTGAAAATGCCCATGGTAGATTTAAAAAAGGGCAGGGAGGACGCCAGTCCATTCCATCACCGTTTCCTGTATTCATATGTGCATTGCTTCGGTCTGAATGTGGCTTGTATTTCAGCTGAGAAGTGACTAAACACAGGCTTAAAAAGGAAAAAAAAAAGAAGAGGAAATAAAGAAATGCCCCTCCCCCTCAGCTTTGAGAGAGTTTCCTAACCCAACTTTTGACACTCGAGATCTTTATTTTCTGGGATGACATTACATACCTTCTGTTGCTGTGGGTGCTTCTTAAGGGTAGAGTGCCTTCTGTCTCCATAAATATAGGATGGATTGGCCATCATCCGCTACGTATTCAGTTGGTGTCAGTCATTGTTGTGAGGCTGTAGTGAAGTAATTAGGGGCACGTTACACAGAATCATCAGTCCTCAAAATAGAGGACTTTCCTAGGAACGAGTTACATCGGCAGATAACCTAATGCAAAGTATAAGAGACTAGCAAACAATTTTTATCACTGAGTACTTTGCTGTCTGTAGTAGAAAGTATTATAATCCGACAAAGTAGGCCATTGTCCCTCATCTAGGGCAATATTATCTCTCTGTATCTCTTACAGTGGTCAAGGGCTATGAAAAGGAATCCAAAGTTAAAAATGTTTACGAGGGCACGCACAAAATGTTTTCAAGCGCACGGCGTAACTTTTAGTCTGCAAAATGTCAACAGATGAATAAACTGTGGGTATTCAAAAGACACGAAAGATTTTTTAAATCAAAGCAAAACAATATATGTTCCGGTGTAATAGCGAACAAGAAACACTTATTCATCAAAGAATCCGTAAACATCGTACTTCCTTGGTTGAAGCAGAAGAGCTCTGGGATGTGCATCCAAGTCTGAATTCTTGGATCATGTGTTGGTCCTATTTCATAAACGGGCTGCACTGATACCTCTTTTTAGAGCTATTCTCCCAATTAAATATTTTAGAGGCAAATGATAAAATGGTTGCCCTTGCACTTTTGGAACAGATCTTATTAATTGTACCATCATTCTAAATATTTACAATGTGTTCTTTCAAATATTTGTGGATATAATAGAAAGCATGTCCCTATGACATTATAAGGCCTTACTGAATTGACATTAGATATTCCCATGTTTACACACCTACATATGGTTAATGACTCATGTTACCTATTAAAGCTTCCTGTTTCCTAATTTAAAAGATATTTAAAGACCGAAGTACCGAACTGTTTATTTTTGGCCTTGGGATCTCACTGCTTCATATAGTAACACACAAACAGGCTAAATACGCATTTTAACACCAGCAAACCCACATTTTACCTTTATTATGCAACAGAGATTTGGTCAGCTGAGGTCAGGTTGGGCCCTTCGCGTCGCTGGCAGTGGAGCCGGTGAACCCTGTTGCGGAGAGGAGAGTCGAACACAAACACTGAGCATGTCTACAGCGGCTTAGGGCGGGGATTAACTTGGATCACCTAGTCTTCTGCTTTTAATGAAATTCTCTCCCTTGTATTTTCATGTTTGGAAGAGAGTCCAGAGTTATCTCATGCTAATTTAGTCAGGCAGTGCCCTCCGGGGATGTCACAGGCTTCCCTGACCTCTCCAGAGAGGGATTCGGGGAAGGGATGAGGAGAATTAAACATTCCTGAGAAATTGGAAAGCAGCAGCCCCCAGAGAATCTGCAGAGAAACTCGCCCAGACTCCGCTGGCAGATCCTCGAGGCACCTTTTCAGCACTTGCTTGACGTCTCTCTCAGCCCCTCGGGCCTGACTCCAGGGCCGTCGGGGCGTCGGGGCCCCAGGGAGGTGGCGGCCGGGCCCTCGCGGGGAGCCGCTCCGAAGGGTGCCCGGGCCACGCTGCAGGCCGCGGAGTTCTGCTTGGCGCGTCCTCTTGCCTTTTTTCCCCTTTTTTTCTTAACCCCAAATGTACTTTAGATAAGCTGGTATTTTTACTTTCCAAACGCGGAGTTCCCTGGTTCCTGCCGAGCGCGCTCTGGCCCGGGGTGGCGGTGGTCGTTACGCACCGCCCGGCCTCTGCAACTGATTATTCCGTAATCATATTAGCTGTTTACAAAGGTGGGTTTTCTCTTGTGCATTTAATGAAATTTGGGGCGAAAGGGGCTTGGAAAGTACGTTCCGGTTTTAAAACTGTATTCTCTTTGTGGTTTATATTCCCTATAGGAAGAATTTCAGAAAAGTAGGAAAACATTTCTTAAATGTGGCATCTAGATTGTAAACAACTAACCAAGGAGCGATAGCTTCAGTCTGTTTTCCGGGAGAGCCGTGTTTTCTGATAAACTGAATGAAGTCCGGTGCGCCCTGTGCGCCCTGCGGTGGATGTGCCAGGAGAGCCCTGGGGTCAGATCCCTCCCTCCGGGAGCACCCGCCGCCCCGGGGTGCTCGGCCGTCGTCTCTGGGGCGCCCTTGGTCCCGGTGACATGTCGCACTGTTGAAGCTGACAGTTAAAATTTGAGAGGGTTTTGTTGTTTTCATTTTTTTAATGTGACTCCCAGTGTTTAGCATCTCAGATCCGCGCCCCCTGTAAGGAGCCGCCGACCGGGGGCCTGGCCCGCGCCCCGCGGGACCCGAGCCGGCCTCCCAAGTTGATGGCCCGTCCGCCGGGCACTTCCTCCTGACCACGTGCGTGATAAATGCTGGCAGAGAAGTGTGCCCGTCTCTGCACTGTTCTCAGCAGGCTCCCCGCTCTTTGCTCCCAGCGCCGTGGCCTCAGGGGCTGCGGGCCCGCAAGGCTTGGCGCAGTCGGGGCCCGCGGGGACAGGTTCCCGGTCTCCGGAGGCCAGGTGGCGCTGTCCGAGGCCCCGGGGTCAGCTTGCACCTGCCACGCCCCCGCCGTCCTGGTGCCTCTGTTCTTTTTTTTTTTTTAATTTTATTTATTTATGATAGAGAGAGAGAGAGAGAGGCAGAGACACAGGAAGAGGGAGAAGCAGGCTCCATGCACCGGGAGCCAGACGTGGGATTCGATCCCGTGTCTCCAGGATCGCGCCCTGGGCCAAAGGCAGGCGCCAAACCGCTGCGCCACCCAGGGATCCCCCGGTGTCTCTGTTCTAATGATGATGATGATGATGATGATGATGACGACGATGATGACGATTCACTGACTCGAAGGTGTCAAGGTGCTGGGGACCCACGCAGGGTCGCTGACCCCCTGCCTTGGGCGCTCCCATGGCTGCCCCCAGCTTGGGCCCAAGTCCCCAGTGCAGAGCTGGTGTGGGGATGGGGACAGGACAGGGCTGGGGACGGGGTGGGGATGGGCGGGGGAAGGGGATGGGCTGTGGCCCCCCGCCTGGCCGAGCCGTGCGCGCCGGGCCCTGCAAACCTGGCCCGGCCACGGCTTCATCTGGACGAGGCGCGTTGCATGGGAAACTGGCCCGGGCACTGGACACCTGCCTTCTGTTCCTGCTCCTGCCACCACATGACCCGCGCCCCCTAGCGAGGCTCAGTTTCCCCATCTGTGAAATCAGACCAGGAAGCGACTGCCGTTTGTAAGGAATGGAAGGAGCTCGCCTGAGGATCCCCACCAGAAGGAGGGGCGCGGAGGCTTTCCACGGGTCCGCTCCTCCTCCTGCGGGTCATTGCCCCCCGCGGCCCCTTACCTGTCCGCAGCAGCCTCCCAGGCCACAGCCTTCCTGCTGCCTGTTCAGGGTCGCGTTCCCCCTAACCTTCATGTTGCCACCGTCCCCTGCTTGGGGAAGATAGCCCGCCGAGGTAGCCGCTCCCGAGGCCAAAATAAACCATGAAGTTTAGAAACACTTAGACCAAGATAATTAGGGAAATGATGTTAAATAAAAGGTGGCATTAGACCTGTTATTATGCTTAAGTTAGAAGCCAGTTCCAGAAAGCACTATCTCCAGTTAACTGATCCCTTTTAAAAGGTCTTATTTTGTTCCTTTAAAGATTTCATTTATTTCAGTCTTCTGATCACTCTTCCATTCAGGCTCTACTAATGGGTTTCTCTTCTCCATTGAGAATCATATTGGAAAAAAAACCTCTGTCAACAACTGTGTACTATTTAGGAACACTTGAACAAAAGAACACTACCCAACAACAATCAATGAAGCTAACTATTCCGAAAAAAAAATACTTAAAGCCCCTCTAAAACATCTACCTGTATGTATAATACAGATCTACTTTCCTGAAATAGCAGAAACCCGCATATAAGACAAATATACAAGTGGCCAGGATTTTTGTGCTCTTTCAGAACTTGAATATAACTGACCTATTTTGGGCAAGGAATCAGAAATTCTTAAGAATGGAAATGTTGAAACCCCAGATTCCGTTCTGAAACACATTTTTTTTTAAAGAATTAGTTCACTGAAAAATGCTGTGTTTTAAGTATAATAACAGTCAATGGAATTATCACATCATATCTCAGTGATCGTTATGGAACACTGATCTCTTAGGCATTAACCCAGGAATTTTCTCCAATAATATTATCGTTTGTAACAGCAATAACATTCAGTAGATCACAAAGTGCTTTCAATAGATTATCTAATGGGATACCCAAAACCCCGTAACCTGTGTAAGAAAATCAAGAGTGAAATAAGTGGCTGACCTCAAGTGACAAGCCCAGAGTCTTAGGACTTCTGTCCGAGTTCTTTTCACTACATAATATTAAGACTGTCCTTATGACTGCCTATTTTCCTGTAAAAACAGTTCATTTGCAAAGGCGAATAAACATACAGCCTTCATCTCTTGCCCTGCGATTCTCGCAGCTCCCACATCCAGCTCCAGGGCTTCATTTCCAGGGTGTGTTTGGTATTCAGTCTCACAGCACAGCCCCAGTTCTAAAGAATTGTCTCCTATCTTGTATGAAAGTACCCAGGTGCTCATAGGAAAAGCTCCTAAGATCACAGCACTGTTTACTGCTGGGAATAAGATCATTAAAAAAAGAAAGAAAGGAAAGAAAGGAAAGAAAGGAAAGAAAGGAAAGAAAGAAAGAAAGAAAGAAAGAAAGAAAGAAAGAAAGAAAGAAGGAAGAAAGAAAGAAAGAAAGAAAGAAAAATACTTTTCTTTCCTTGGCTCCTTTGGTCTTAACCTCCACCTCTAGTGGCTCCATGAGGAGCTGAATCCACTGAGAAGCAGGAGGTTCTGTGATGCCCGGTTCTGTTCTCCTACGACCCTCCAGACTGGCAGGTGGGGTGCTGGGGAGGAGCGGCTGTCTCAGCTACAGTCAGAGTTTCAGCAGGTGATGCTGCTTTCCTCCAACTGGACGGGACATCTGTGCCCCCCAGGCGGGGGGGGGGCGTTCACCATTACTAGCAAACATCCAGTAAGTTGTCCTTTATTCTCAATGGTGCCAGCAAAGTTTTAAACCAATCTGATATTGAGTTGGAGACAAGAGTGAGTCATGCGAACTGAGAAACTGGTTCTCATTGCTTTATGGGTCATCCGGCCAGCAGGATGGCTGGGATGTTCCCTCCCGGGTAAACCTGCAGTCCGTTTCACTGATAGAAATACAACGCTTGATTTTTTTCCCCCGTCCCTGTTTGTTCTGGAGTCCGTCACACATAGGCAATCTATTTGAAAGGAAAAAGAAAGGCAGGAACAATTGTGTAACTGTCACGACAGCCAAGCATGTACATTCTCTCCCTGACCAAGCTCTTTAATGTCTGTGGACACATGCTTCTGGAGGCCTAAGCAGATAGTGAGGATAGTGCCCTGGGACTAGAGTATTTATCACTTGGCAGCTGGTTTACTTGTGGGGAGACACTGGGAATTTATCTCCGTGCCCTTGGAGAATTGCTTTACTGATTGTCTTTCTTAAAGACTTAATTCGCTGATTCTTCAGCCGACTTACTACTACATGGTCCTCTCCCTGGACTTTGCACTAAATTTGTTTTTAAATTTTGTTCAAGAGGATTTATTCCAGAAGACACGCCCTGAAGGTTGGAGCTGGCCTAACGGGAAAGGACTCCTTATTTTATTGTCACATCCGTGGATGACCCAATGGCCCATGGTGGGCAACATCTTAGAATATGGCCTGAAGCTCTGACAGCACTGGTCACCCTCACCCACTTGCGTTTGTCCTTCTATGATCTTAGAAGGAATTTAGTAGAAATGGGAGCTGCGGATTTGCTTATCTTCCAGAGCAGTCAGGGCATACTGAACATTCCGCCTGCGGACGCCTTGGTGCTTGAAGTTACCAGCTTCTTGGATCCACGTTCAGCAGCTGCTCCTTGCATCGAGGGCGCTGCGTGCAAAACAGCTACCGACATTACTAGCGTCTCAGAGAAGAAAAAGATCTCGTTTCAAAGTGATATCAGGTCGAGGGCTTCTAAACACCGTTGTACTCTCAGTAGGTGTAACGAGACGGAGCCCTGGTCACGTTCCCTGGAGGAGCGCACAGGCCCGTGCGGGTGAGGCGTCTGGCACGCTCGGCTTGAGGACCCAGGCGCTGCACAGCTCCCGAGGAAGGTCGGACGGTGGAGTCGGCGTCTGTCTCTCGTAGAGGCCGCTCCCCAAGTGCTGCCTTTCTCTGAAAGCTGGAGACTGAAGGGATGAGGCGCAGATGGTCCCCAGCCAAGGCTTGCGTCAGGAGCCCTCGGTGCTCAATAAGCACATTGTGGCGGT